CCAGTTTCCCCTCCGTACCCCAGAGGTGGGACCCTGGAGTCCTCCCCCACCACCAAAGGTAGGACCTGGGAGTGCTGTCCCCCCACACCCCCTCGCCATAGGTGGCACCCAGCAATCTTCTTCAGCCTCCCCCGCTCCACCTGGGAACCCCCCCTCTCACCTCCCGTGATGGGATCTGGGAGTCCCCTCCTGCCTCTACCCCAGACTGGGACCCCATCTTTCACCCCGGAGGTGAGACCCTCAGTGCCAGCCCTGCCGCAGTGGTGGCTGGGCTGGCCCTGCCATGGTGGATGCTTCCCCCACCCCCAGCTCCTTCCCTTGGTGCCACGTCGCCTGCCCGTTCCCTTCGGGCAGCAGTCCCGGGGCTTGCCCGGCTTCAGAGCCACTCCCAGACCCGTTATGGGGCTTGTTCCCCCTCTGCCAGCCAGTCCCGGGGCGATGGGCCCTGCGAGGGGCGCAGGGTGGTGGCTCTGGGAAAGGAGGGAGCCTGCGGAGCTGGGCGTGCTGGAAGCACATCCCTGCTTCAGCTGTCAGCCTGGGAGAAGCCAAATTAGCAGTTGGGAGCTCCCGACGAGTGTAATTAATGTAATTTATGCCCTTTAATGTACTGTCGTAGTACCTGCAATGCCCCTGCACGGGTTAGGGCTTGAGCTCTGTGCAGCTTGTGTTCCCGGCTCCTTCTGAGCGCTTCCCCCTGGCGTTTTGGGGGTGGAGGTGTCATAATGTCTCTCCTCTGCTGTAGGGATTGGGAGGGTTCGGAGGGATGGAAGCCTTCAAGTCTCCAAACAACCTGGCCCCCAAGGAGAAACCTGGTGAGTGGCGTTCAGGTGTGAGCCCTCGATGTTTCCAGAGGGGCTGGAAGGGAAATGGAAGGCTTTGCCGTGGGCTTTATGGGGGGTGGTGGTGTCGTGGTTCCCCTCCCCAGCCCAATGAGGGACACCATCAGCAGGCGGGTGTCTGGCCGTCCCCATCTCATGCAGCAGTGACTTGGGAAGACAAACCCCGTCACTCTGAATGTCCCCCTTCCTCCTCCTTTTCCCCAGTTTTATTACTGAGCACCATGTCATATGGTCTGGGATGTCCCTTGGATCAGTTGGGGTCAGCTGTCCCACCCATGTCCTCTCCCAGCTACTTGTGCACCCCCAGCCTCCTCGCCGGTGCGGTGGGATGAGAAGCAGAAAAGGTCTTGATGCTCTGCAAGCACGGCTCAGCAATGACTAAATCATCCCTGTGTTATCAACACCATTTTCATCACAAATCCAAACCCCAGCCCCACACAAGCTGCAGTGGAGAAAAATAACTCCATCCCAGCCAAACCCCGTACAGTTGCTGTGCCCAGAGAGTAGATAGGACCAAAAAGCTGCACCTGAGATCGGGCTTGAACATAAAACGTTGCACAATGCTGTCCTGGGTCAGGAACCTAACAAGGATGATAGCAACAGCTCAGTGGGACTGGTGTTTGACATTAAAATGTTGGGGGGAAAAGGGGGTTGGAAAAGAGCTTTTCTAAAAAATCCCAACTCATTCTGTGCATAGCACAGCACTTGTGGTAGAATCATAAATGTGATTTGTAATTAAGAGCGTCAAAGCCCCCTAGTGAGGAGCTGCAGTTTGATCTGCCACTTGGGGTCCTTTGTGGGGATGGGGGTTCTTCTCTTTCATAGACGGGGGGCCAGTCTCCGTCACTATCCCAGCCTCGCCCTTCATGCAGAAGCTTGGCTACGGCACTGGGGTCAACGTCTACTTGATGAAAAGGTACATGGGAGAGTGCGGGCATGAGGTGGGGATCGAGAATGGGGCTTGGCATCTTTTGATCCAAAAATAATTTAGGGGATGGGAAGTGATTGACCTCTGAGCAAGAAAGTGCTGCTGTCACCGACCACCAAATGCTGCCCGTCCCCTCCAAATGGGCACGGAGCTGAGGAAGGGGTGTGGGATTTCCAGCTGTCCCATGTGTGCGGGAGGTATCAGTGCTGGGAAGGAGCTTGTCATTTTGGGATAACCCCGTCAGCCTTTTCCTGGCCTGGAATTCAGGCATTTGGGGTCGGTTCCTGGCTCTGCCGTGGCTGGCTGGGCAAGCAGCAAGCTGCTTCCTTCCCCGAGCCCCAGCTCCTCCATCTGAAAATGGGAATCAATCCAAATCTCCTTTTCTAAAATGTTTGAAAATTCAACAGAGGAGCACTGTATCAGGGCAAAGCATTACTGTGCACCTCTGCAGTGTGCACGTTAGCAGACTTTAGTTTATTTTAGCATTATTCTTTATTAACTCTGCAAAATAAAGGCAGACGCTCTCCAAAATGAGTGACCTGTGCAAGCTTCAACCGCGGTGCTGCTTCCAAATGGAGTGGTTCTGAGATGTTTGGGTTTTCCGTTGCAGATCTCCCAGAGGTTTGTCTCGCTCCCCATGGGCTGTGAAGAAAATTAATTCCAAATGCAACAGGAGCCAGCAAAGCATCTACCAGCAGAGACTGAACGAAGAAGCCAAGATCTTGAAAAACCTCCAGCACCCGAACATTGTGGGTAAGTTTCCCGCACAGCCTTTTGTCACTTAAATTGCAAATTGAGCTGTGGGAGCCAATTCTGGAGCCCACTGATGTGAGACGAGGCTGCTGCAGAGTTTCTCTGCCCTCCCCAGCTCTGGGCTCCTCTTGCACCAAGGGCTGTGGGTTGCAGACCTCCCCGTCTGACTCTGGAAGACTGGAGCCCTGGGATGTGATTGATGGGAGGACGCCCAGGGGAGGATCACTGCATGCTTGCCCCCATCCTTATGGTTTGGAGACGGGTTGCTGGGCTGCCTGAGGCTTTGGTCAGCCTGACCGTGGACCTTAATAAATTAACTTCCTCCCTGGAGCACTGTGTCCAGCTTTGGGGTCCTCAGCACAGGAAAGACATGGAGCTGTTGGAGTGGGTCCAGAGGAGGCCACCAAGATGATCCGAGGGCTGGAGCACCTCTGTTATGGAGACAGGCTGAGAGAGTTGGGGCTGTTCAGGTAGACCTTCCAGGACCTAAAGGGGCTACAAGAAAGCTGGAGAGGGGCTTTGGACAAGGGCGTGTAGTCACAGGACACGGGGTGATGGCTTTGAACTGAAAGAGGGGAGATTTTGATGAGATCTAAGGCAGAAATTCTTCCCTCTGAGGGTGGTGAGGCACTGGACCAGGTTGCCCAGAGAAGCTGTGGCTGCCCCATCCCTGGAACCTACTGTAGTGGAAGGTGTCCCTGTCCATGGCAGGGCGGTTGGAACTGGATGATCTTTAAAGGTCCCTTCCAAGCCTAACCATTCTATGATTCTATGAACTCAGTCTTGCCCTGCGCAATGGGGACACGGAAGTGCCCCTGAAACACTGGGGCAGCGGGTGGTGACAGAAGTCGCCCTGTGGTGCTTCGTTATCTGTTGAGATCAGCTCAGTCGCTGAGAGGTGGCTACTGGGTGAGTTACCGGCAGAAGCAGTTAAGGTGGGACTCGTAAGCGGCCAGTGTGCTGGGGTGCCCCAGGAGCTGAGAGGTGCCTCTCTGCCGGCTTCGTGCTGTGGGTCAGCTCCGGCACAAGGAGAGCCACAGGCTGGTTCTGGAGAAACCACCACCCGCCCCAGGGTTGCGCTGGCACCACAGCTTTAGCTCATGGCCTCGGGGAAGGTGGAGAGCACCGTAACCTTGCAGAGGTCAGGTAATATCTTAGCAATATCTGAGATGGCTTCTGTGTGCGGAACGAGGCTTCGGGTCCCACCTTGATGACACAACTTTGCGAGTGACAATCGAGGCTCTATCAAGCTCTTGGCTCTCAGTGGTAGGAATGTTTTCAGAAGCTGTTTAGTCTGTGTTTAATTTCTGCTCTTATCTTGTCTAAAATGTCTCCTGCCCGTTCAGAACGGCAGCTTTGTTTGACTTTCCTTTTATTTGTGCTTTAAACTCTCCCAGTGCAGTCACTCAGAGTAGAAACACTGAGACCAAAGAACTTTGTTTGTATCCCTAAAACGGAATGTCTCGCTTCTGGCAGGAATTTTAAGAGCAAAAGATAGCCTCGACCTTTCACATTGCAAACGTTTCACTCCTTTCTTGGTAAAAGGTGCTGTAAATCATTTACAGGATAAGACACTCGCTGTGCCCTTATGCAAGACTTTATCATTTACAACACCTCCTGGAGACTGTTGTTTACAGACAGGAGTAAAACACGGAGGAAGAACGATTACAGTCGTGACAGTCCGTGTGCACCTTAGTCTTACCTTGTGGAATGCCCCCGTGAGACAAGGGCTTCGCTTTCCCAAATGTCCCCCTGTCCTTTGTCTCACTCTCACGGCTCCTGATCTTTGCGAATGAGGATGTCGGTGCTGCACATTGGCTGCTGCTCTCCTCCCTCCTTTCTCCTGGTTCTCTGCCCCTGCAAAGATCGGGATAAACCTCCCTGGGCCTCCCTGCCCCGGCCCGGGGTGCAAAGCTGACCTGGGCAGCAACAAGGTGGGGGGGGGCGGTCCTGGGCCCTCCTGGAGGAGTGGAACACTGGTGCCCGCTTCGGCTCTCTAACAAATCCATCTTTGTTGGAAGGTTACCGCGCATTTACCGAGGCCAACGATGGAAGCATGTGTCTGGCCATGGAGTACGGAGGAGAAAAATCTCTCAACGACTTAATCGAAGAAAGAAGTGCAAAGCGTTTGGGCCCTTTCCCTGCTGCCACGATTTTCAAGGTTGCCTTGAGCATGGCGAGGGGGCTGAAGGTACGTTTAGCGTTAACCAGAGCTGTTCTGTGCGGAACCGCCTACGCCGGTGACGCTGGAAAAATAAATCAATTCGGTGTGCGCGAAGGCTGTGCCGGCAGGTGGAGAGCAGATGCTGCGATGCTTCGTCTAAGGCCTTGGTGGGGTGGGGTGTTTTTTTTTAACTGGGGTGCTCTACAGACTCAGGTGAAAACCGAGCCCTGAAGCTTGAGGTTGAAGTAATATAAAAAGTGATGCAACAAAGGCTTTGTCCCGAATGTCCTGCTGCCCTCCCCTGGGGCTACCTGCTGTCTCTGCTCGCTAGCCATCAAGGAGGCTGGCTGCTGGCTCTTGCACCCTTCTTGCTGCGACAGGTTGCTTTTAGGGAAAAAAAAGGGGGAATGGGAGACTCTGCGGTGCTGTCTAAACCACAGTACAGCTTCGGAGCCTCGGCCCAGCTGTGCCAGCTGTGAGGGTAAAGCACAGGCTGCCCCGGCCATGGCAGCGAGTCCTGTGCTGTTACTGCTGAGGAGATGCAGCTCTGAGCTCCCGGGATAACGCGGATGCACGCTTGGCTGTCAGCTAACGCCCGCACTTCACTAAAAGGCAACCTTAAGCCCCCAAAACTAGGCTGGGTGGAACAACCTGTCCTGTGTTTTCCAAGTGTTCAGGCAGGTGTTGACCCATCCTCGAGGTTTTAAGGCTAAATATGTTAAATATTAAGAAGTTGGTGCTTTGTTGGCCAAATTCGATGGCTCCTCCTGCCTCTCCATAGCTGTATCTGTAACTCTGGTGCTAACAACTCCTCTCTGCCTCTTAGTATCTTCATAATGATAAGAAGCTGCTCCATGGAGATATCAAGTCTTCCAATGTAGTCGTTAAAGGTGACTTTGAAGCCATCAAGATCTGTGATGTGGGAGTGTCCCTGCCCCTCGATGAGAACATGACCGGTAGGTCAGGCGGCCGGGAAGGGGACCTCGATACGTGGTGTCTGCCAGAGTTTGGCTCCGAGAGCAGAGTGAATGCACTTACCCCTCCGTGTCCCCGGAGGGGAGGATGGGCTGGTGGTTTGCACTGTGCCTGGGTGAAGGAGATCTCCAGAAGGTCCAGCTTTAATTCTTGAGACCTGTGACGCCTTTCTTGTACCTTCAAAAGGAATGCTGTTGTATGCGGGACGTTGGATCAGGCTCTGCTGGACCTTGTTGAGGAGATGCTCTTGCCAGAGAGTGAAGTAAACTAATCTTTCTCGTAGGGCTGGAGGGAAGCATGAGCCAAACGCAGGCGTTATAAAGACCTTGTGTAAACGAGAAGCAGATGTCTAATGGCGTCGTGGCTTGGCCGCGAACAGCA